TTAAATTTTTTTAAATTTTATAAAATTATTAAATTACATTTCTTTCATCAGTTTTTTCATAATTAAAAGACTTTAAATGATGTTCTCCTTCATAATAATGAACATATTTGCATATAAAATTACAGTTAGTATTTTCTCTATTAATAATTAACGCTCCTGTAATATCACCAACAATAAATTCTTTAATATTTATTGTTTCTTTTAATTTGAAGTTATAAAAATTAAATTTTTCCATATGAATAGTTATTGGTTCTCTTCCAATTCCTCGAAAACTCATTTCTCCTTTTTCTATTTGTATTATAACAAATGTTGGATAACAAATTGAAATATTATTAATTTGTAAAACTACTTTTCTTGATATAAACCATCTATCAGGAAGATGAAGAGTGATAATAGTTGAGAGATCAATAGGTAATTCTCGTTTATAATTTATATTATTTTTAATAAAATTAAAATGACTTTTATCATTAAGAACTTTTAAAGTTGTTATACACGATATATCAAGAGTTCCTTTACATTCACAAGTATCTAAAATAAATCGAGTTAATTGAGATGAATTAAATTGAATAAAACATTTACATCTTATTAATGAGAGTTGAATTAAAGACTTTGGAAGTATAATATCAGATGTTGCTAAATCAATAAGTAATGTTTTTAAATTAATTAAATGAGAGAAATCATTTTTTCTCTGTCTTATTTTATTACTAAATAATATTTCTGCACGTGAAATATTTTCAGTAATAATATGATTAATAACAGGATCAATTAATTTAAATTGAACAGAATCATAAATTTCAACTGGTGTTGGACTTATTCTATAACGACATATATTTTGTGAAGGAAAACAAATAATATGTTGTGATACATCATTCCATACATTTTTACCAAATAATACAATAGACATATTTGTAGGTTTTTTATGTAATAAACATCCTATAATTTTTTCATTACATATTGAATGAAATACAATAGAAACTGATAATATTGAATGACACATTTTTTTTCTTTCTTCATTATTTGTTTGAATAATACCACATAATAATTCAAATGAACTTTCATTATCTAAATAACAAATCATTCGTTGAACTGATTCAATGTTAATAATTGAATGAATTAATTCAACAGTAACTGAACTATCAACAATAACTTTTTGTAATTTAGTATAATTAATATTTGATAATGAAATAATATTTGCAATCATTTTATTAACATGAATAGATCGTACTTTATTTCCAAACCATTTTTTTGAAAATATACCAAATCCTAAATGTTCATTCCAACTTTCAATTTCAAAATTATCAATTTTATTTAATTCAACTCTTTTTGGTACAACATATGGTTGATTAAAATAAATTGTTTGTAATTTTGGAAATATTTTAATAATTACTTGAAATGGATATTTCTTGGTTAATTGATATGGATGAATATATACTGAAACAATCGCTATTTGACATGACTTTGACACACTTTCAAATTTCATTATTTCATATAAATTTGGAAAATAAAATAATACATTTCTAAGGAAAACATTTTCTAATCTACATTTATTCATGAACTTTATAATTCTATTCTGTATTTTATTTAGTTTAATTATTTTGTTTTGCTTCAATTTTTTTTTAACGTTAAAAAGAAAAACAAATTGAAATAATTTAATATAATAATAAATAAAGATTGTTTGTTATACTTTCTTTTCTCTTTTAATTTAACTCATTAATTCTTCTCTCATTACTTTAAATAATCCATTCATTAATTCATTTACTGTTTGTGGAAGAGTTCCATCTTTTCCATAGTCCATTAAATCAATAGGTTCTCCATTTAATTTCTTAGTTATTGGAAATGTTTGATGACTAGCTTCATTAATAAAAAATTCAAATCCATATTGTAAACTTTCTATTTCATCATTTAATCTAGTCTTTACATATAAATATTCATTGTCTATTTCATAATAGAAAAATGGATTTTTTAAACAATATAAATGAAGTTGTGTAAAGAATTCATCAAATTTTGGATATGAATTTGGAATAGGTGGAATAGGTGTTGTGTCTATTGATTTTTCTACTTCTTCTTTAAAGATTTCTCTTTTTTGTTGATTTAGTTCTTCTGAATGATTTTCTGATTTCTTTCTTGGTACAATAGAAACAGAATTGGTTGTTTTAGATTGAACTTCTTTAATAAAATTTTGTTGAAAATTCTCAAGACGTAAATCAATTCCAGGTACTGGTATTGGTGTGGAAACAACAGAGTGTTGAGTAGTACTCATAGGTCGTGGAGTTGGTGCAACCTGATTTACAGTTGGTATGTTTACATTAATTTGTTTTATTGGTTCAACTACACGAATATGAGGACTTGGAGTTGTTTCCATTAATGATGGTTTAGCAGTAATTGGTTGTTGTATGTGTTGAGGAATAATAGAAGGAGATTGTGTAGGTAAAGGAGAAGGAGGAAGGTCTTCAATTGGGCCTTGTTTTATAATTTTTTGATGAATAAATTTATTTTGTACAGATGAAGGAATTTGAGGTTTTTTTTCTTCATTAATAATTTGAGGTGCACGACTTTCTATTGGCTGTTGTTGTTTGCTAATTATTTTTCCAAACATTTGAGGTTGTTCAATTTTTATTGTTGGCTGTTGAACTCCTATTGCTCTTACAGATGCTTGTTGTGATAAACGTATTCCTGTTGGAATTGGTCTTGCATAATTTGTCCTCATTATTGGAGTTCGTGCCATACCAAACTGAGGATTACCAACTATTGAAGGTGTCATTCCACGTGCTTGCATTACTTGTCCACGGGACATAGGTTGTGGTACTGGACGTATTGCAATTCCACCATGACCACGTAGTCCAATATTTTGTTGTTGAGAAACCATATTTTGTCTTGTTATATCTAAACCTTGAGCCACAGTAAATTGTGGTCTTGCGTTCATTTGTTGAATAACCTGAGCTTGCTGATTTATTTGTGAAAGATGTAATGCCCCTATTTGTTGGGCACGTTTAACATTTGTTGGGACGTGCAAATTTGTTTGGATTGGAATAGCAAAATTATTACCTAAAGGTATGGGTTGAAGATTTACAGTTCTTAATTGTGAGGTAGTTGGTATATGACCTTGGCCAAGATTTGGGGTAGCCATTGGTGCCATTCCAGTACTTACAACCATTGGAAAATTTGATGGATAACTAACAGAACCACCTTGAGTTACTCCAGTAACTATATGTGGAACTCTTTGTCCATTTGTAACAGGAATAAAATTTATATTTTGTATTTTTCCATTAGGATTAAACGGAGGATTATTATTTTGTGGGAACCGACTCATTTTTTTACAGAATTAAATAAATAGATTTTGTTTTTATGAAGTATCAAACATATAAGTGTTATATATAACAAAAATGAATAAAAAACAAAAATAAAAAAATCTAAAAAAATAAAACCCTGATGATTAATATTAGACGTGCAACAGTTTGATTTGTTTTAATAGTATTGTTAATGAAGAGTATAATAGAAATATTTATTTTCTTTTAGCCAGAAGACCTTCCTAAACTTCAAGGAGCTAATTTAATTAATTTAGCAGAAAATTATACAATGAAATATTATTATTATCATCTTCTTCTTTGGCCTTCTATTACATATTTAGCAGAATGTGTTGATGGGAAAGTAGTAGGTTATGTTTTAACAAAGATGTTTGTCATTTTTATTTCATTTATAAAGAAATTATATTTATAACCACTTATTTATAGGGACGAAGACTCAACAACTCCTTTTGGTCATATCACTTCAATTAGTGTATTAAGGTCATACAGAAGATTAGGAATAGCAACAAAATTACTAAGAGCCGCAGAAAATTCTATGATTGAATGTTTTGGTGCAGAATATGTTACTCTTCATGTACGTGAAAGTAATAAACCTGCTCGTCATTTGTATGAAGTAACAATGGGTTATAAACAACATTCGGTTGATAGAAAATATTATAATGATGGAGAAGATGCCATTGTAATGCGTCATTATTTAAATGTTAGTAATCTATCTAACCCAGATGCTTCTTCAGACTTATTAGACGTTTGGAAATCCAAACATCTTGTTTCAGCCTAAGCGTAATTTAGCTTCATTAAAAATAATGTTTTTATAATAATTTTATTATTCAAGTATCATTTAACAAAAATAGAAAAATAAAGTTCTTCTTTTCACTTATCAAATTCAGATATTAATTCAACTCCTTTTCAAATGGAATAATAAGGAAATATCTCCGAAAGTGCAATTTGTTTTCATTTCTGGTATTTAAATCTCGTCAGAAACATACTCTTCCATTATGAGTACTCAACTTACTCCACTTAGAAATAAAATTATTTCAGAAGTTGTAAAATGTTTTAAGAGTGGTAGATTTATTGAAGACATTGATAAATTACCTACTATTCTTACTGATGGAGATGGATGGAAACCAACATCTAAATTTGTTCATTCAAGAGAACAAGAAGAAGGTATTTATAGAGAAAAAGTTTTATCTGTCCTTGGATTTGTTGATGGAGAGTATGACGATATAACACCACTCCATGTTTATGCACAAAAGGCATTAGAGAGAACTTCATTACATGAGCCAGTTTTTGGTATTTCACAAAAAGGATGTAACAAATGTCATTTTAATGGTTATTTTGTTACACAAGCTTGTGAAGGCTGTACATCTCGTCCATGTTCTGTTAATTGTCCAAAAAAATGTATTTCATTTGGAGAAGATGGAAGAGCAGTAATTAACCAAAATAATTGTATTAAATGTGGAAGGTGTTACAAATTCTGTCCATATGGTGCAATCATCTCTAAATCAGTACCTTGTGTAAAAGCATGTCCTTGTGGAGCAATGTTAGATTCTCCAGAAGGAGTTAAAACAATTGACTTTGAAAAATGTATTAATTGTGGAGGTTGTATGAGGGCTTGTCCATTTGGAGCAATTCTTCCACGTAGTAATCTTATTGATGTTTTAAAAATACTTCCAACTAAAAAAGTTGTTGCATGTCCAGCACCATCTATCGCAGCTCATTTTGGTAAATATGACTTAGCTTTAGTTTCAGGTGGATTAATTCAACTTGGATTTACTTCTGTAGAAGATGTTAGTTATGGTGCTGATTTATGTGCATTAAATGAAGCAAAAGAATTTGAAGAACGTATTGTTAAAAATAAAAAAGACTTTATGACAACTTCTTGTTGTCCTGCATATATTAATGCCATTAATAAACACATGCCAGAGTTAAAAGAAAATGTTTCTCATACACCTACTCCAATGCATTTTGCTACTCAAGCAGTCAAAGATAGAGACCAAGAAACTGTTACAGTTTTTATTGGTCCATGTAATGCTAAACGATGGGAAACTTTACAAGATTCTACTACTGATTATTGTCTAACATTTGATGAAATATTTGGTTTATTTGAAGGAAGTGGAATAGATTTAAGTAAAGTACAGCCATATACTTTTGTCGATAAGGCACATAAAGAAGGAAAAATCTTTGCTGTAAGTGGAGGTGTTGCATCTGCTGTTGCATCTTTACTTCCAAAAGAAGTACCAGATGGAGTAATTAAACCAACAATTATTGATGGATTTTCTCAAGAAAACTTTAAAAGACTAAAGAATTTCAAAAAGAATATTACTGGTAATCTTGTCGAAGTTATGGTTTGTGAAGGAGGATGTGCTTATGGACCAGGGTGTCCTGGATTGAATACACCAGCTACATCTGCTAAAATTAAAATAGCTGTAGATAAAATGGAAGCTCATCCAGAAGGAAGATGGGTTGGTTTACCAAATTCACAAATTAAGCCAATAAAAGTAGAAAATTAATAATCAATTTAATACTTTTTGAAAATTAATTATGAATAAAAATGAATAAAAAATTAGAAAGTTCTTGGGTTAATAATTAATTTGAAATTAATAATGAAAGTTACACCATTATCATTAAAACTTATTATATATTTTTTTCTTGTTAACAGTGTCCAATTTTCAATAGAATTCTCTTGTTTGAATAATGTGATTTAAATTAAATAACTCAGTATTAACTTATATAGATAATATTCCAATTATTAATTTATTTTTCATTAATAATTATTCTTCTTTAACAAATGAATCAATTCAATATGATTCTCTTGCACATTCTGTGATTAAAATGACTATAGGTCCAATTATTGGGTTTTTATTACAACCAATTATAGGCGCTCTTAGTGACCATGCTACATTTGGTTATGGAAGAAGAAGACCAATAATGATTTTAGGACTTGGTATTTGGTTTGTTGGAAGTTTTGGTACTTTAATTTGTTCTATTTATCCATTACTTCCAGTAACTGTAAAAACAATAAGTTTTAATGAATTAAATGGGTTAAATCTTTGTGACGGTTTATTTGTTATCTTTCAAATTATTGTTGCAATTGGAATCAATTTAATTCAAGTTTCATATCGTTCATTTATATTAGATCAATTTGATTGGATTGATCAAACACGAGTAACACTAATTGGTTCTGTAATGTTAGGGTTAGGTAATGTTATTTATTATGGAATAACTTCAATTATTTGTTTAATATATTTAACACAACCAAATCATGACAAAATGTTTTTAACAAATGCACGTTTAATAACAACCTTTTGGTTAAATGTGATATCATTATTTGTTATGCCAATAACAGTTTATTTATTTTGTCATTTTGTTAATGAATCACCATATCCATCAGGTAATATTTTATTTAAAGAACATATTCAGAATATCTGGACTTCAATAAAACAAATTAATAAAAATATGTGTTTAATTCTTATTGTAGTATTTGTTGGTTGGTTTGCATGGACACCAATTAAAGAAAATACACAATTATATTTCATCTATTATGTTTTTGAAGATAAACAAGACTTATCATTTCTTTATTTTAATTTCAATAGACTTATTTTTGGGATTACTGTTGTAATAACTGGATTAATTCTGTTTATTATTAACAAAAAACCTATTCTTACAATGTTTTCTTTTAATATTATAACTGGGTTATGTGCTATTATTTATTATATCCCACGTTCATCATTTAAGAATGATGCATTACATTGTTTTGTTTCATTTTTACCTCTTATCTCTTCTGGATTATGTTATTGTCAATTAACTTCTTTACCATATGCTCTAACAAGAAAAGTAGTAAAAACTGATGACTTTGGATTTTTTGTAGGATTAGTTAATAATTCTTTAACTCTTTCTCAACTATTATCACAACTTATTTCAATAATTATTAATATTTCAATAAATAAAGATTCTAAAGATTCTTCAGAATCTATTAACCAATACCACACTAATTATTATATGTTTATTGTTTGTCCTGCTTTTCTTCTTTCCGGAATATCAAGTTTATTATTCATATTTGTTATTAAAACACCAGATCAAAATAGTAAGGCTACTGATCAAAATGAATCTACTCAACTCATGAAATAATCTAATTCTTTTTTTTTTTGTTACCTTATTGTCTAATAAAATTATTCAATTAAAATACAGTGATAACAGCATGAAATAAACCTGGAAAATAACATAATAATGTTAGACAAATATTCGCAATAAAGTCTGCACAAATACCACATCTACAATAAACAGCGGCAGGTGGGCAAATAATAGATAATACAAGAGAATTATACCATTTCATCTCTAACTAAATAATTATCAATTTTTAGTTTTCGGTGATTGTAGAAGAGACAAAATATTTCAAAAGAGACATTTCATTAAACGAACTTTTTAACTCATTATTTTTAAAAGAAATTTTCTTTTAAAAGATAAAAAGAAACTTCTATACATCCAATTAACCCTACTATCTTTTTCTTTTTTATTCATTATGGACTTTTTCATTCAACAATTCCCTAAAGTGGAATTACATTCTCATTTGAATGGATCTATTAGAGAAGACACCCTTAAGTTATGGCACCAAAATACTCACATTACTGAATTAATTGACTCTATTTTATCTCCAAAAACATCTTGTGAAGAAGCATTATCTAATTGTTTTAAAGCATTTGATTTAATTTATGAAGCTACAAATTCATTAGAAAGAATTAAAATTTTAGCAAAGCAAGTTCTTGAAGATTATGATAACGATAATACCATTATTGCAGAAATAAGAACAACACCAAGAAAACTAGAAGGTCATAGTCAAAGAGATTATATTGATACTGTGGTTAGTGCTTTTGAAGAGTATATTAAACAAAGAACAAAAACAACACCGTTCTATCCTTATTTAATTCTTTCTATAAATAGGTCTAGACTAAATGATGCATATGAAACTATAGAATTGGCATCTGAATATAAAAAGAAAACTCCATTTGTTAGAGGTATTGAATTAAGTGGAAATCCATTCAAAGGAACATGGAAAGAAATTATACCATTGATGGAACATGCAAAAGAATTAGAATTACCAATCACAATGCATATTGGAGAAAAGGTTGATGATGAAGAATGTGTTAAATTAATAGAATGTTATCCATCACGTGTTGGACATGGAATATTTTTAAATAAAAAAGCAATTGAATTAATGCATGAAAATAATATTGGATGTGAAGTGTGTTTAACAAGTAATATGGTGTCACGAAGCATAAAGGGATATGACAAACACCCAATGATGGATAAAGCATTGTTCAAAGGAAAGGTATTTATTAGTTGTGATGATAGAGGATTATTTAGGACAAGTATGGTTAATGAAATGAGACATGCTATTCAAGCGTATTGTCATAATAATGAACAAGAAGGAAAAGAATTTATGAAACAATTATGTTTAAATGGAATTCAATTCTCATTTTTATCATCAGAAATAAAGCAAAAATTAAGAGATTATGTTTTAGGTATCAATATTTAATTGAATATTTTTTTTTAAATTATGTAATTTTATTTTCATTACGTTTAATTAATTATATTCTTTAGAAGTAGTAGAAACAAAGAAATTATTGATAAATACATCAAAAAATGGAATGAGTCAAAATGAGTAGATAAAAATATTACAATGAAAGCATTGAAATCTATCAATATTAAGAAAAATGAATTCCTCCAATTAACTAAAATGAAAGATGGAGCAATATTCAGGGGGTATAGAAAATCAAAAATAATGAAAAATGAAAGATTAAAATACTCATGAAAAATGAAAGATTAAAATACTGCACAATATGTAAAGACAAAATATCAACAGTACAACACATAATACTATATTGTATTTATCATAAAAAAATCATAAATGAAAAAACATAACAATATAGGCATTATCATATTGATTAATA